AACTGCTTCCATATGAGTTTGATTCCCGCCTGCCCTGGAGGTGACCACATGGCGTGGCAGACCTCTCCTAACTCGCCCGCTGCTCCCCTCAGCAGTGTACTTCATAGATCTGCCTGTTCTGTTCCCCACTCTGTCTCTGGTGAAGCCTCTCACCACCCCTGAGCCTCTAGCCTGTACCCCAGTTCTATATGCACAAATAAATCTTTAAAAAATAAATCTTTGACGGTAAGTGGGGAAACTTCTGAAGGTTTCAGTGATGTTTCCAAAGGGTGTCAAGTGGCATCACCTACTTCAGATTGTAAGTTAAACTTGTGGAGAAAGATATTTAGTTCTTTGTTGAAATAGAGTGCTTAGTCATTCCTGGGATGAAGTAAAGCTATGTACTTCTTAACAGTGACTTTGCCATCCACCTTGATATAAGCATTTTTGTCAAAATGAATCCAGCATTTCCTCTTTGCTAGAGAAATAACATGATTCAAATACACTATTTGTAGGAATATACAATGTATAAAATGTATACATTATTCCATATTGATAGATATGATCTCAATTCTGTTAATTCTATTTAACTTGGACTATTTAACTTGGAGTCACTGATATAGGTAACTGCAAAGTTAGGTAAAATCCTGAAAACCCATTCTAAAGATAACACACGCTGACTCAAAGCAACAAGAACAAATCAAGCACCATTTTGCCATAAGAAACTTATCACCCATTGCTCCAGGCCCCCCAACATTTTCCTTTCACTCAGTTGTCAAGGAATGTCCCAGGTGGTGATCCTAACACCCTTCCCAACTCTCCTCCAAAAAAAAAAAAAAAAGAAAGAAAGAAAAAATTCACTCAGACAGAGCTGCTTACAACTAAGTGAAAACGTAGGTTAGTAGTCCTGTCTATCCTTCAGGGACTTCTTTAGTACCTTACTTTAAATGTTGGAATGAGAGTCTGCTAAGAATTACACAGCACACTTTGAAGGGCAGGGCTGAAGAGAAAGAAAATGGGTTGTTTTTTTTTTTTTTTTTTCATACAACTCACTGACTCCCTTTTAGGAGGTAAGCTTAAGTACATTAAATTTTTATGCATTTACTTGCTCAAAATTGATCCAAATCAAGTAGCACTAAGTAAAAATTGGTAAGAAGCACTCCATCTACCAGAGATGTGAAACAACTCAGAGAAAAGGTAGACACAAAGTAAGACAAATATTGATTGGTTGTAGGTTAAAATCTAGTTGACTGTGATTGGCTGTCTGTACACTTCACTTTCATAACCTTGAGACTTAGATTTTGATTGCTTAAGTATACTCCAGGGCATTGGAGTCACCTGAGTGTACCTGCCTCTGCATTTAATTAACTTAGCATCCAGTTATTTCTTTGAGCCTCCACACCTCTTTGCCCTATTCTTCCACAAAACGGTATACCTCAAAATGATTAGCCAGTGAAAGGTTTGGGATGAAATGAGCCAGAACTCTTAGATATACCTGAGGCAGTTTCTCTCAGCCTCTCTTACATGTTTCTCAAGTTCCATTCACCTGAGGCAGAGAACCATAGAAGAAACAAACTTGTCAAATAATGTAAGCCTTGCTAGAAGCTCACTCTATCCCCATCATGGCTCCTTACACACACAGGGGAAAGAGAGAGAGGAGATTGCTTGGCTGAAGAAAAAAAACTGAGTCATGGGTGGGTATACAGGTGAAACCCCACTGCAACTGCAGTGTTGGTGGATAAGACCACCCCACCCCCCACCACTAACACACAAGACACAAAAACTGGTGTGCAAAGTGATGCTCACAGATGCTCTCCCCAGAGATGGGCACTACCACCTGGGACATGGTGTGTAAAAGGTGCTTAGGCATCATTCAGCTCTTTTTCCATCCCACTTATCTCTGTAAAGAATTTTGTTTCTCAGCAGCTTCTTGTCATCTTATTCTAGAATGTGCTTCCCTTCTGTTTTCCTGATTACAACCAATTCACCACTAGAACTGCAGAGCAAGAGCATTTTTATTTCTATCTTACTCATTTTACATTCATTTCTCCTTGTCTTTTGCATTTTAAATTCTGGTTTTACATTGGTTCTTTTTTTCCCAAAAACTGATTTTGCTTTGTGTTATGTCTGTGAAAATAGGCTGGATTTAGAAGAGCACCCATTTCACATTTTGCATGAGTCAAGTATCCTTCATTTTAATCCAAATGTTATCATTTGAAAAAAAACTTAAATATCACCTGGCACAGTCCTCTTTTTTTTTTTTCTTTCTCTTTGAATAAAAAGAACCTGAGAAAAAGATTAAGAGAGTTGTCCACAGTCTCATAGCTAATTAGTGGCAGCCATTACAATAATGACTCTAGAAATTAGGTCACCATCTCCTAATCAGAATTTTCCCATTATACCATGCTTCCTTAACTGATAAGCTTAGCTCTTTCTCCTGCAGTTTTCTCTAACAATAGGTTCATCACCTGCCTCACAATTAGCTCTTTTATCACCCCTGGAAACAATATTGAGACCAGAAATTTTGGAAACAGTTAGCATCATCTGAGGCACAAATACTTGACAAAGATGTTTGTGAAGCTGAAATAAAGAAGCTTAGTCAACTTTTAAATCTTTGCATTGATTAATAATTGCAGAGATGGGAATGCAGATAGCAATGGATTGGATTTCTGTCAGACCACCTGGATCTCAGTCCTACCTGTGCTACTAACAAGATGTAAAGCATTAGTGTCATCTCTTTGGGCCTTCATTTTTTCTTCTGTACACTCAGGTGATTTGCCTATGAGTTCAAATTGTTACGTGATTAAATATCTTTTCCAACATAAAGGTAACATGTTTATTGGAGGAAACTCAAAAAGGTGAAAACCATATAAGAAAAAGTACTTTTAACCACCCATAATGGAACAACTCAGAGATAACCACTTGTATCTAAAGGTTTTCTTTCAAGTTTTTTTAAAATAATGATCAAAATTGGAATAATCTCATATTCAGTTTTGTTGTTTTAAATAAATTACCCACCAATTCTATTGTAAAATCAATTACCTTTGGCTTTGAAATAGTACTTTTAGCCATAAGACAAATTATACTCTCTCCCTAACACCCAATGTTTCTAGCTTTCTTTCCCAGGTATCATAATAATGCTTTGTTTGTCATTGTCCAATACGTTTCTCAACAAGGTAGAAGGACACGTGTTATTATCCCATTTGAGAGATAACTAAAACAATGTCTAGAAGATGAGGTGATTTGCTCCAATTACATAGCAAGAGAGGATCAAGGACAAGGACACTGAACCCAAAGCTACTTGTCTAATAGTCTCACACTGCTTCCATTTGGCCTGAGTTCACAAAAGGCAAATTGCATTAACTACTAGCCCAGGGGATGAAGAACTTATGCTGACTCTTGGCTTTTTGCCACCAGTGTATTTTTAGGAAGAAGAATTATTTGAAAAAAAAATGTGGATTGTTAAATTTTAAGTAATTATTTACAGTGCTGATTCTACTAAGTGCTTCACCCAATTATCTCTAACGCTTGGCCCAGTTTTTATTTTTTCCCCGGCACCACTGTCAACCTGTCCTTAGTTATCTGACTACCTGTGATATGCTTCTGCATGGCTAGTTCTGACCTCAGGGATGGTCTGTTACTGTATTTGACTTGATGGATTATAATTAGCTACTCCAAAATCCAGTCATAGAAATGAAATCCAGTGGCTAGAAACTGGGAACTGATCCAAAAATGGTCTGTGATAGAAATATACTATGCAACTGGCTTGAATTATAATTGGTCATATCACAGTCAAATGTTGATTAATTCTAAGTACTAGAACAACACTCAATATTTGTGTTACACTCTTGAGTAATTCTGGAATTAAGACACATGTAGGTGGCTCGATGCTAGATCACACTGTGAATCTGGCTTCTAAATCTCCAATTAGCTGAAACTCAGTAGATGTCTATGTAGTTCAAATGCATGAAGAGGAAAAACACAACATTTAGACATTTTCAAATAGAACTCAGCCTTTATCTTGAGGCTAAATCCTCATTAGCCTTTGTCATTGCCTGTAACTACCAAGAAGTTATTAATCAGGGAGAGCAAGTCTCCCAATTATCTTTTGTTTAGTTTTGACTGAGTGACTGCACTGACCTAAAAGAATGCCAGAGGGTATAGTGCCACCATTAGGAAAATCTGAAGATGACCAGAAGCTTCTATTTCTCCTGCCTTCCAGAAGTCTTTCTTCCTCTTCTAGAAGGTGCATTCCACCTGAAGTCTACATCTCAGTTCCCTCTCAGCTGAGGAATATACTGATGCTAAAAAGTTTGAGAAAGCTTTATCTGGGGCCACTCCTGGGATTGTCTGTATTATCATAGTGGTTCTTTGAAGAGAAAAACTAATCTGAGGATCAAATACTAGGTGGGATGTAGGCCTGGGCTATCCCAGCCCCCTGTCTCTTCCTTGAAAATTCCATCCCTTCCCTGGACACAGAGTTCTTAAATTGCTCCATTTCTGCTTCATAAAGCCCACTGCAGCCCAAGAAATAAATTAGGCCTCAGAATTGATGGTATACAGAGCTACTAGATGGCATTGGCCTAGGACAGTGGTGGGGTACAAGAGCTGGAGGATGGAGGCAGGTAACGTGGGGGAGAGTACTGACACAAGGACATTCCATGGCTCAAGTAGGGCAATTTCCTATCTTGACTTGCTGGACAAACTATCAAAGTTGAGTGTACTGCAAATAGACTGTGCTAAGCACTTTCTCTTTAATCTTCACCCTTTGCATTTGATAGCAAGAAAGAGAGCAAAGGAAATTTGAGCCATCAAGGTCTATAGTGTGTAGTTATGCTTTCTAGGTAAAAGAGTGCTATTGGGGTGCTCTAACCTCAAAAGGACAATGTCCAGTCGAAGGCAGGTCACTGTGGGTTCTCACTGATGTGCATAATGGCAATAGCACGTAAGCTCAGGAAACAACAGTGGGGGCTATTTAGTAAACAGAGGAAACAGTTCTTAAGGCCAGGTGGCTATCTCACCTCAGATAGTGTCCACAACATCCAAAAGTCCCACACAAAAGGCTTCTTATCCAAGATGGTGCTGTCCATCAGGGAGGGCTTGGAGCTCCATCCAGCAAGCAGCCGGACAGACTCCAACTCGCTGCAGCTGGAGATACTCATGGGCAGGGCCGCTGAGAGGACGTGGCAGCAGCCTGTAGCACAGTCCGATTGTACTGACAGCGCCAGACACTGGACCACACAGCACTGGAGGTGACCCAGACAGAGTGCTGGTCACTCATCAGTAGTGCTGGGCATCACTGCCAGTAGTGCTGGTCACTTGGTCATGAAGACTCAGTGGTGTCAAAACACCAGTGTTAACAGCTCTCAGAGTTGTTGGCCCACACCACCACCAACAAGCAGCTCTTGAAACACCAGGCTGGGGGCTCTGCTCCCAGAGCTGATGTCAGAGGCAGACTGGAGGCAGGTATGGGCAACCCAGCCTCTGTGAAACTTCTTGGCTTCTGTCTTCTTTCTTTGGAGGTCAGGAATGGCGGCAGAGTCCCAAACTGGCTGCTGCCCGCCTTACATCCTCTTCAGGGTCCCCCACCTACAGGCCTGATTGGACCATTTTCAATGCTATGGCTGATTGGACCATTTACCAATTAGCTCATAGCTCACACCTGATCAACACATTTGACCATCCAGGTTCCAGATCCACGGGCCTCTCTACAGTCTGCAGCTGGTGGGAGAATTGTGCAGGAGCTGGCCCGTGGGCCCCAAGCTGCTCCCGGCAGCCCTGAACCAGGGATCGTGTGCCTTGGCATGGTAGGGGAACTACCACTGTCTGTCATCACTGCTGGCCTCTGCTGTCATCACTGCTGGCCTCTGCCTGCAGCCTGGGGCCACTTGCCTGTGTGCAAACAGCTTCTGGGACCAGGAGGAAAAGAGCGGGTTTGCCCACAACTTGTACTGTGGGCCCTGATTCATAATGAACAAAAAAACCTTGGACTTTTTTTCACCTCTGCACAGATTTGCACAGCAACTATTATTAGTCCTGTTTTGATAATGAGAAAGTAGAGAAGGATTTGTCCAGGTTGCTTAGCTCAGGTGCTGTACTTGAGTGATACACACCATGGTCTGCCCCTTTCAGAATGAACTGTATGCCTCTATCTCACACCTGATGATAATTAACACACCTTGTAAATTAATGTGTGTATCCACTGCAACTTTCTACACTGCTCTTTATGGTGGCTTAAAAGATCCAGTGATACCACCCCTGAGTTGAAGTGTGGTTTAAAGCACAGTGTCCCAGACTAAGATCTGGTTCAATTGTTGCTAGAAAATGGGCATGTGACTTACAGGGTATGGATTAACCTCTCTAGATTCAGTTCTCCCTTACACAATGTGAGGAGTAGCCATAATCCATAGGCACACTTTCTGAACGAGAGAGAAGACATTCAAGATAGTCAAACGTACAAAGGCCAGACATGGGGAAGAAGGTGGCATAGGCCTGCTAAGCCTAAGTGGCCTCTTCAGCCACCTTTTTTTTTTTTTAACATGTATTTATTTATGCATACAAAACTGGGGTACAGGCCAAAGATGCAGGGGCAGTGAGAGGATTCACCAGAGACAGAGTGGCAGAACAGGCAGATTGATAAGTGCACTGCTGAGGGGATCAGAGGGCAGGTCAGGAGAGGTCTGCCACACCATATGGATCACATCTCTGGCCAGGGAAAGAACTCATGCTGAAGTGAAGCTGTTGTGGCTAGCTTTGTAGTGCTGTATTTTAACCCATTGTGCCTCAAGGGAGGGCCCAGCCACCATTTTTGTTACCTATGGCCCTGCATTCCTATATAAGGTCAGAACTGCCAGGTCAATAGAATTCGCCATAAGAATAACAACATTAAACATTGGAATATAGGATAAAGACAACTGAAAATTAAGCAAAGATATTTAGAAACACTACAGAAATATCATAGATTCTGGGCAGAGGCTTGAGGAAACAGTATTTCAGAAAAATGGCTGTGCTAGCAGGTACAGGGAGGAGACAAGTTGTGAGGCTGAATTTTGAGAGAATTGAATTGTATGCTTCTCTCTCACTATGTGACTCTTAAAGTAACTTAATACTTCAGATTTAAAAGTAGAGTGACTAACTTGTTTCATTTGAAGAAAACAAATTAACCTTGTCAGCAAAATAAACAGAAGGTGTATTGTAGTAATTGTAGAGAAACAGATACATTACTAAGTTAATTCTTTTAGGAGAATTAATCTATATAAGGAAATTAAGTTTGACACTGGTACTTTCGGTGCATTCTTGTCAAAGGATTCTGAGGCCCACTGCAAACTTTTATCTGCTTATAAATATACTGATGAGCAGAAGAAAGGAGGGAGGAGGACTGTGTTGTCAGATGAAGAAAGGAAGGAATGAGGCACAAGGGGTATCTATCATTACTGTGAATACCCCCCATCTGGGCCCAGTGCTCAACTTTGGTACCTGTCAGCTTCCTTTGTCAGTTCATGCTGAAATGCCGAGGCTGGGCAAATTGCATAGCTAGACTTGGAAGTTTAGTGACTTTATTATTCATCAACCAAAGTTGGATATATATTTTTTCTTCATGCCAGGGTACTTTTGATAGTGAGAGGGTGCTAGTGAAAAACCTGAGCAGTAATCTGTAACTTTTCCAAGAATATAGAGACACATGGACACCGCACTCTTAGAATTGATGATTTGGAATGACAATTCATAAATCACAATAAGGATACATCTTTTCCATATCCACAGAGTCCAGATAACTTATATTTTTCACTCACAGGGTACTTAGGCCACATGGCTATCAGAAAGTTGGACTGAGATAGATGTGACATTGCTCAGTTCATAGTTCAGCCAAGTACACCTTTTGTTCCTTTTTGATGTTCATGTGTTCAGGATCTGAGGAATTAGTATATAAACCACCACTCTTTCTTTTGTATCACTGAGTCTATAAATCACTTGTCTTCTATTTGTATCCACAGAATATAATTTCCAAAGTGTGGAAGGTAGGGGTGAGATGTGAGTTTTTCACTTTTGCCTGGAAAGAATCACATTGGTCAAAATCTACCAGCCTCTGATAGGAAATAATTTAACATCTGCCATGTGAAAATGAGGCCAGTTTGGGTGACCATCCATTCCTCTTGCCTGGAAACAAATATTTTCCAGGACTTGGCCCCTCCTGAGCTCAAATCAGGCAAGTTGCAGAGCAAATGGGACAAGTTAGTCACTCCACTTTTAAATCTGGAGTATTAAGTTACTTTAAGAGTAAAATTTCTAGTGTGGAAATTAGCTATTTTTACCCTGATAGTATTTGTGGTTATCTCTTCTCCTAGGACATTTTTTAAAATGTCCATTTATTTTCTCATTCCCTCATAGTCTCTCACCTAATACAGGTTCTTATTTTCCCTTCTATGTTGGTGTGAAGATCATATATAAATAAAAGCCAATACAGTATCTGGTACATATCTGGTACATTGTTAATCAATATTAACTACACTTATCATTATTCCAACAAAAATTTGGGTAGATTTTGCATGCTGAGTTAAGCATGCAGGAGGGTAGTTTTGCTTTCCTAATTGCTTAGTGAATCTAAGATGCAAACACATGATAGAAAACAGTACTTTTGGAAAATAGAGAGTACAATTCACAAAGTGTCAGCTGTATCTTGGCAATGGAGGTGAACCAAGGGCATCATTTACTTAGATGGTGCTGTTTCCTAGGAGGCCACACTAAAGCTCACCAACTACACCACAAAATGGTGTAGCAGACTACACCATTTTATCTCTTTCAATCAGGGTTAAATAATAAATTTGGGGGGAGTAGAATGGGGAGAAAACACAGAAACTGTCTCCTCTGAATCCATACCACCTTGGCATTTCAGTTCATTAACTATAAGCAGAACCTCAATTGAAGCCAATGAAGTAAGTTGTTAAAAGAGTTGAATTATTTTCATGTGAGCAATCCCAACAGTCTTTCAAGTTGGTTTCATCATAATTGATTAGATTCACTCGAGTTCTTCATCAAGTTAGGTTATTATGCATGTTTACTTTCAAAGTCTTCCACTGCTGGGAAACCATGATGCAAGTAATAAGAAGAAATATTAATATTCCTCTGAGTAAACAAACACTAAGGATCTCTTGACAACTCCTCTTTCATTATTAAAATTGGAGACAAAGTGCCTGGAAATGAGAATGGATTTATCCAGATGTCAACAGAAGAAGAGGAGAATTATCAAGCACTTAAATGATTCCAAACAAGCTGGAACATGTGTCTCAAGGCAGTAAGTGGAATACATTTAGTTACAAGGTCCAGTGAGCACCACAAATCTGGGGAAATTCTGCAAGATGTTCTTAATTAGGGGTGCTACTGGGTAGACAAATGATGCTGAAGTCACCTAATATTCAGACTGCTGGGATAATCTGTTACGTTTTTTAACTCAGCAAGGTTTACTCAGTAGAAAATTGCTAACAGTTTAGTATTTATGTATGAGGCTACCACCTTTGAGCCAGAGACCACACATGCATTTTATGTGCAGTTAGCTTTCTATAACCAGAAGGACTTTAAGCAGGCTTATCTCCTTAAAAGAAAAATGGTAAAATGTTGAATTGCAAATCGAGATTGTTGTACAGATTATTGATTACTTGAAGCACTCTCTTCAAAAGGTGTTTGTGATTGCAACTAGGGGGCTGCGGGCAATCCAGACACATTCTGGGATCTGCTCCCACATTCCTGCCTTCTCTGCAGCCATGGCTATTTGGCTTTTCCTCCTCACATTCCACAGAAACGGTTCTTTTCATCTGTCTCCAAAAACCAAATCGTAATAGTGCTTTTCACTCTCTACTTCTGCTCTTTTGTTCTAGAATGTGCTCCTCTGTCCTCTTTCCCAGTCATTCATTGAATAAGCATGGTGGATGTCAGTGAGATTTCCCTCAATCCCCTCCTTCCACTCCTTGCCCTCCCCCAGCATCATGTCCCTTCATACTGCCCAGGACTACCTAATCCTGATCCTTCCTATCTTCCTGTTTCTGATCAAAACTCAGGTTCTTTGTACTCAACTATTTGCTATTGTTCAGAGAAAAACTTCTGATTAAATTTTGCCATACATTCATTTTTCAAGTATGCCTTCTTAGGGGTTCTGTGTTAAAAAAAAAAGGGGGGGGTGCACGGGACCTCAAGTAATCCCTGCTCTAGTGGGGACTATACAGAAATGTACATCTGCTCTCATGATCAGATATGAGAAATGCTAGGATTGAGCCAATACAGGATGATACAGGTCATAAGGCATGATCTTGACAGCAATTGTATTTAAAATAACAGTTTGCAACTCAAAAGAATGTATCTCAAATGTCTCTGGAATGATATTTATAGAGTCAGTGCCAACACCATTTTATAAAATCAGATGGTAATCAATGCATCTAATGATTTGCTGTACACCAGGAACTGGGTTATGTGCTTTGTATATTATAAGTGTTTTAAGCTCACAACAGCCATATGGGGTCAAACATAATAACCCACGTTAGATAAACACACTAAGACACTAAGACTCAGAGAGATAGCAAGTAGTATTTCCGTTTTGGAATTCAATTCATGAAAGTCATTCTTGATTCCTATTTCTCTCTTTAGTTAATTGCCAAGTTCTGCTGACTTTCCATCTTTGTATCATTCAGAATCATCGACATCTTTCCACTACTCTGCAGCAACCTGATCAAGGGCCTCAGTTCTTTTCTGACTTGCTGCTCTACTGTTACTAGGTCCCTTAACAGCAACCAATCTAGAATGAGTTTGTAAATACAG